CTGCTAAAATGCGGTCTGATGGTACATAAGTCTACTAAAGCATGCGAATATGAAAGAACGGACACCATGCATTATTAGAGATTCAATCGAAGTCCTTCAGTTCTCATGGTCGCTGGTGTGATTAAAGTTAGAGCGCTATTCTGTGGGACAGTGGACCATTTTCTGTGTGTGTGCGCGTACTTCTGCCAGACGCACGTCGCTCATAGCGCTGACGCATACGACAGTCTCGACTCTGACACAAATACCTTTCTCAAAGTTGCCTGTAGTGTCAATCCGTCACGAACCCACAACAGCCATCAGGGCCTTGGCTAAACGCATCGAAGGATGCGGCGCAAGGTAGCTGCCATGGTGGTTCCCTTCATGCTTGAACGTGGACGCTACCATTCTCGGCCGCCATGCCGACCGGACAATTCCGCGGAGGGCCAGCTCCGCCGGTGTCGTCGCGCATTCGACTAGGCAACGAGTTGGTCCCACCGCCTCCACGCGTACGCCCGCGCTGTACCCGCCCGCGGTGGTTCTAGGAGGGCCACTGAGGCAACATGTGCAAACGAGTGCGTGATACTTTGGTCGTAGCAGCCCGGAAAACAGGTCCGGGTCTATGCGTTCTGCGTTGCGCGGAGAGACACTGTCACTCTGATTGTCCAGGCTTCATGATAGAGACGGTGCACACAGATGCATAAGTAGAATGTGTATAGTGAATAGGACACGTCTTCTTTCGTGTCGGTGCAGCGGAATGGAAACTTATTCCTCTTACGCCCTCGGACGCTCAGGCCGACGCCTTGATAAGATCCGCAGCCCTCTCTGCCACCGCCACCACCAGCGCAACAGGATGGCCCGTCGGGACATTCGGGAAGACCGACGCGTCGACGACGCGGAGGCCGGCCACACCGTGAACGCACAGCTGCGGGTCGACGACGCCGGCGGAGGCATCGCGAGAGATGCGCGCGGTCGACGCCTGCCCGGTGCGGAAGTTCAGCAAAAGGATGGGCAGTGCGGCACGCAGGACGCACGGGATGGAAGGCGGACAGGGCATGCCCGCGGATGTACTCTTTGATCTCGTCGTCCGTGACCTGCACCGACCTTAGCAGCGGGCCTCGACAAGGGTACGGAGAGATGGCGTACGGCATCTGGGTCAGCGTCGCCTAGCCAGAACAAGCTCTCTTTCTCGACCGCGGGCGGTGCGGAGGCGTCGAGGGCATCATGGAGCGGCGTGGCACGACCGACGCGCATTGCAAGCCGTACAGCGCGCACGAGGACGGCCATGTCGTTTGGGGCAGCGAAGTAGCTGCGTACCACGTTAGGATAGTGCGGATGGAGGGAGAAAGTGGGTGCGACGAACTTCGGGTCAATGACGGGCTTGTCGTACGGGTCTGCTGAGCGCAGCGCGACAGTTCCGGAGCTCTCGGGTTTGAGCAACACCGGGGCCTGCGAATACATTCAGTCGGAAAGGTTTCTTGAGGTGATGGACCAAAGAGCGTACGAGTGTGAAGCCGTGCACGTTGGGCGGGGCGGGTGCGTTGAAGCTCGGCACGACGATAGGGAACCAGACAAGCTCGATGTCCGGCGTCCCGGGCCCCGCGCCGTGATCGATGACGTCGACATTCTCACTCGCCTTGCCTGCGACGAGATCTTTAAGACTAGAGGATGTACATGAGTGCTTGGGCTGTAACAACGGATGGCGGAGGACACACGTAGGGTCGTTGACATTGAAGAACGCTGCGCCAGGAGCGGAGAGGTCGCGCATAGGCCCCGTTCCGAAGACCAGCCAGCGGCCCATCGCAACCATAGCCGAGAGCGGATTGTTGAGGTAGTCGAGCGTGTATCCGGGTTTCGTGCGGAAGATGACCGCGCCAGCCGAAATGTGCTATCCCAGACGAGAAACATCAACATAGAGTTCGAAACGCAGAGAACACGCGGATTCACGTCGAGATAATTCTTCCCGACCTGGGGCAGATTTTTGTTGACCTCGATGCCATGCTTCTGAAGCTCCTTTTCCGGTCCGAGTCCAGAAAGCATGAGAATCTGCGGCGTTCCGACGACGCCTGCACTCAGAATAACCTCGCGCGTCGCGCGAACGTGGTATTTCGGTCCGCCAGGTGTTTGGGAGAGCTTGACGCCAATGGCGCGGGGCGTGCCAGTGGCTGTCTCCGCAAGTAGGACTTTCTCGACGTGGGATCCGATGGCAACGGTGAGGTTCCTACGCGCGAGGACATCGGGTGTCAGGTATGCATGTGCGACAGAGTGGCCTGCAGCGTCATCAGGTCACAAGAGACGTGGAATGGTAAAACAGCCTACGGCAGCCTTTCTCGTCGACGTAGGTGGTGAAGCTTGATGTACCCTTGGGACCCGCAGCAGTGTTAAAGTCTCTGTAAACACGTCAGCTATAGAACGGACGTGAGAACGAGAAGAAGTACGCAATCTCCTCAATACCAAGGGCCTGGCATGCGTTCACGATAAACTTGTGGATTGGCTAGAGAGGCGGTGAGAGGCGTTCAACAAGCGCAACATCTACCGACGGGATGGTCAGAGAAGGTAATCTTCCAGGGTCCAGAGGTGTTGTGGTCAGAGTCGAGGACACCTGGGTGCTCAGGATGTTGCGTGAAATTCTCTGGTTTGTGCAGGTACGGCTTCATCGCACTGTAGCCCCAACCCTCTGCGCCCATTCGCACCCACTCTTCGAAGTCTGAAGCGACACGTATGAGTAATCCGACGCTTGTTCCGTGAAATAACATACCATCAGGGGAGCAGTGCTGAAATATGAGCGCGTTGATGGAGCTAGACAAGAGACGGGTTGGTGGGTCGCGACAACACAGGCACGCGGAGCGTACGTGGATCCCCCGAGAACCTTGCCCCGGTCGACCTGAAGCTTGCGACCGTTCGCATAGGTTTGCTCACTTCCAATATCTTTTATTATTCTGTCGATAGAGATGATTATGCAACGCACGTCGTCTCGAATGCCCAATTCATAGGCGTCGTTAAGAGCTTCGGCCACGCCAGTGGCATTCGCACTAGCAAATTACCTTCATGGCTGCTCATTGCTTAAACTTCTTTGAATTAAGATGCCAACTGTCGCACACCTCTGTCCTGCTTCGATAAGAAGAACGGACGTGTTCGCATCTTCGGACAAACGAGAGGCGAGAACGCAGCCAGCGGCACCTGTGTGATTGCGTGGCGCTCGAGCAAGGTACGGATTCAGTGAGAGAGAGCACGCACCTCCACCGACGATGACATAGTCGTAATCCTTCACGCCATCTAGAGATGTGTTTTCGGTGTCCTCAATACGTGTCGCGAATAGTTCTGGGTCAGAGGCATAAGATTGCACAGCGCCCATCTTTCGTGTGTTGGAGTACGGTATGGTGGATTATAGGAAGCTGACAGAACTTTCATTATGCTCGTAAGTTATTAAGGCTGCTGCGCTCTATGAGGATCCTACGGATCATAGGAGAAAGGAGTAAGCTAACAAACGGCGAATTTGACCTTCAAAGGAAAGTACTAGTGTGTCCTGTCGATCGCGCAACGGAGCTGCAACGGAGGCCCGATATGGGCCATGGCTGTATCCTTGCCCGAGATGGTTTTCTAAAGCTTGAAGCTTGCAGCTTCAAGGGTTCTGTGTAATACCTCAAGCAGGCCTGTATTTTTGATTAAGAAAATTTGACAGAACGCCATCGAAGTGAAAGGCAGGTCCGCCTTGTCAGCGCCAGTACGTGTAGCATACCGTGTAGCGGGTGAGTCACATGGGCCGCGTTCAAGCAGGCACCTATTGTAGGCATCATCGATGCATCATCTCGGACCCGGAGTTGCATCCGCGCGAGGCCCAGTGCACCGATCATCCTTCCGAACCTTTCCGCTGCCCACCGCGTTGCGACGCACGGACTTCCCATTTTTTTCACCTTCTCCCGGAACAACACACTGATAACACGTTTTTCTACGCAATGTTCTCATGCAGCGCCTACCTATGTATCATATCGTAGTAAGCGACGCCTAGGCAAGGCGATCGCACCGGAAACTTATCTTGCATTGGTAAGTTAGTTAGTATAGATTTGTAGATTAGTGTCCACGGAATCGAAGGCCGAAGGTCTTGGTACGGACATAACGCGCATACGGGTGCAGAACCCATAGCTAATGGGATTGTTGGTCGGATGCTGGATATGTCGATCTAGTGACTCTAGGTGCTCAGCCGCAGAGCGGACTGGCACGAGATGGGAAGGCGGGAGACACGACTGCCAGTGTCCGTCCAAGATGGTGGAATTGCCCGCTGTTAGTCATGACGGTAATTGAAATGGTGCGTTTGAGGTGAAGCAACGGGTAGGCGGAGGATCATAGCGTGGACACGCACCAGGGCTGCTAGCCCTTGTCTTTGCTCGTCATTGTACCTCTCTTCTTTCATTTTTTCCTCATTTACTGTCATCTCGGATTTCCTTCGGGCCTCTCGAAAAGATTCTAGAGTAGGTGTACACGCGAGGGGTGAAAAAGTCCCATTATCCATCAATGCCTTTGGCTTCCAATAGCAGGTTGGCACAGTCGGGCCAAGCGCGTGCAAGAACGCCTGGAACGCGCACGATGGGTTCGACTCCCCACCAGGGAGCTACTCCATTACGATATACCCCTCTTATGGCTTCGCCCCGCTGACGTTGCCCACTTGATTAAAGAAGAAGAAGGAACGCGCACGATGCATCCTATACAGGGTGTACACATACGCGGCAAAAAAACCTCGTGTACGCCGTGGCGCTTGGCGCCTGAGACCTGAGGCCTGAGGCCTGACGTGTGAGAGGCGTGGGACAGGGAGCCTGATGAGGCGTGGTAGATGAGAATCATGGTACATCAAAATTCACTATTTGTAGTAGTGGTTTGGATGCTAGTTTCCAGTTCGGGGCAGCTTTTGTCGTCTTTCTCGGCTTGAATTTTTATGAATATCGCTCTCCGTAAGATAATCTGTAGCAAAGGGTGTGCGCGTGGCGCGTGATGACCGTCAACAAGCGTCAACGCCACAAGTCATTAGTGGCGGGTTGGCGCAATGGTTAGCGCGCTAGTTTCCGGTTCAGGGTTTACTCCCATGAGCACCTGCTAGAGGTTGGGAGTTCGACTCTCCCACTCGTCGGAGGTTTTTTTGAGCTACGCTCTTAGCACGCGCTTTAAGCTTCACAGAGAAAAGGCTTCGTTCATGGGATGGCAGGTATTCGATCATAGGATGTCGTGGGTGGGAAACCGATGCGACTCGATGTGTCCATATATGTTCCTCGCACTAGTACTGCTGGCTCCCTCGTTTTCTTGCACCCCCACCAATTAGTTCATCGCTTCTTGCTCTTGTTACACCCCATCTTGTCATGGCGCTCTACACATCTCCACATTATGCCGTCGCACGCCGCCAAACGTGTCCACATTGACGATGAGCCTACCGGACCAGAACAGCCAGAGGTCGTGGGTGTAACTCCGGACCCATCGCGACGCGCGCGCCGATGCCCCCGGTGCACAGTTCAGTAGAGTGGCTGACGCATGTCGCCCGAATTGTGTCGCCCATCGCGTGCGAGACAGTTCGCAATGTGGATGCAAGACAAGAAGACCAGAACGGACCTCAAGGCTAAGGCGGAGAAGCTCATTGCACAAGCTGAGCTCCTTAGGGAGACTAAACTGCGGTTGGAGAGGGAGACGACGAAGGCGGAGACGAGCTTGCTGGGATGCGCAACGGACTCGGCGGCTGAACGGGCCCTCGCGTACGCACGAGGTAAATGTTGTGAATGTGTGCACGTCGGAGGTGCTTATATGGGCGTCGTCTTCTCTGTACAAGTACTCCAAGAAACACGAGGCGTTTCAATGCTCTATTTCCCTCACTCTTCGTCACGATCCGCTTCGTACACTTGCCTGTCACCGACGCGGTCGTGTATCTGGTCAGCAAAGGGTTCAGGCGAAGTGAGAGAAGGGTAATGCATACCTCGCGTGCACATTCTTTGATGACCTCCGCTGAGATCTCGCGCGAAGAGGTTGGCTTTGTAGCAATAACGACGTCTGTTGGGAGTGGAACTACACCGGTAGAGGCAGGAAGAACATCAGCGGTTGCAAGGAGCTGCTCTGTGCAAGCGACCCTGCCCTCGTCCGTGATGGAACGGAAGGCACGGAAGTCTCTGTAGTATTCGAGGAGGTAGTTCATATGAAGTTCTCTGTCTGCGCAAGCGTCGGAGAGCAAGTATATAGCGACATCCCCATACCTGGTCAAGACGACGTTGCTGTATACCTGGTGAGACGAACAGTTGCATCGGGCATACCAGGTGTTAGATAGACAGATGCATTTCCCTGCGTTGAGCCTGACGGGCTTGATGGACTCGTATAACTCGTGTCATTGGGAGGTAGTGATAGACCTGCGAAGGGCGACGGACTTGTGGCGCTTGATGTTAGAAAGCTCGCCGGGTGTAGTCCGATTGCACTCGTCACAATATCAGAGACCATCCGACTCGTTCTACAGGGACAGAATCAGCAAGAGGGCGTGCAACAGGAGGGAACGAGAACTAACAGAGTGTCTCTTGCGATCCTCTAGCTCCTTGATAAACGGTGTACGTACGAGGCCTATGAGAGCGATGTGAAGGCTGACAAGATCGAAGCCGAGGAAACCTTTACGTCCACTGGCGTCCGAGTAAACGTTATCTGCATGGGTGGCGGCGGCGGCGACGATGACTGAGGCTGAGGGGCATATGACTAGAGAGGCCCTGTTCGAGACAGCGGAGCGATGCACGCACGACTCACGGTATTCACAGTGCTCGACCTTGTTATCCGGGTCCGTGAAAAGACCGCCCTTGGAGAGAAGGCGGACGCCCGTGCGCTTCATGTTGTGATCATGGTGGCGAAAGAGGACCTCAGCTCGGTCTTGTCGGGGTTGACATGCGTGAAGATGTGTCTTGAGCTTAGCACGTGTCTTGGTCGTGTCGAGCCTGACAGGGATCGTTGCCAAACGTTGAGTCGTCCAGCTCCGAGTAGCGAGCGGGATGAGAGTGGAGTGCCAAGGCTCGCTAGCAGCAACTGGTATCGGAGGCGGCGACGGATGACGATCATCGTGCCGGTCATTGTCCTCTTCGGCGACATCGTGCTGGAGGTAGCGGCGACCTCGGTTGGTGGACTTGTCCACCCGCGCCGCGGTCGCGCGCCGCCCGTCCGACGCGGGTTGGCAGTGCGGAGGGGCCAGCGACGATGACAGCGTCAGGGAGCTGCCTCATATAGGGCTGGGAAAGCATGGAGCGTTAGGTGCGGAAGACGCACGGTAGCAGACGGCGGGAAGCGGGGCGCATCCGTCCAGCGTGACCGGCGGGGACGGGTATCAGACAGGGGAAGATGGACGCAAGCTGGTAAGGACACGAGGAGAGCGTGCTTGCATCACGATTGTCGAACCATAAACGAGAGGAGCGAGGCGGCATCGATGCGTCGTCACGGCAATTAGTGGTAACTGTAGTTCGTCTGTTCGTAGCCTCGAGGCGCTACACAAAAAGAAGGGAAGCACAGTGCAAGGAAGATCCGTGCGGCTCGCGAGACGCATCTAACAAGCTTCCACGACGGCTTTGGTCGATGAGCTAGTACTCAGTCACGCGTTTGGATGCGTTGAAAGCACGTCGCCAAGGCGAGGTCGACGAGCGCCGGAATTCAAACAGCGTCCAAGTATTGTACGGTTCTGTTGCAAGTCTACCGCAAGCCGTCTGTGGATATCAAAGGTCAAAGAGAGAGGACTGTCGTACGCTGCAAATAGACAGCGCCTATGGTCTCCAGTCAAAAACAGAGGCTCTCTCAATTCGCGCTACGGGCTGTCGAACAACGATCACAAATAGAATCGCATCGCGCATCGCCGAGCTCGTGAAGCGAGTGTAGAAGTGGCACTAGGAGTTGGACACAATGCAATCGCGGCCTAGAAGAAGTCAATTTTGTATACTACATGTAAATCAGGCTCGTCGCTTCGCCCGTGGCTTTGGGAATTTGAGGGGCGCTTTGAGAACTGCGCGCTTCGACGAGGCCGTCTCAGACAGTCCAAGCCGCTTGAGCTCCAGGGCGGGCAGTTCGGAGACCGTGCAGCCCAGCGACTTGAACAATGTATTTACCCTGCCGGGGCGATGAGTACAGTATGGGCCAAAGGCATTCGACGGACGCACTTCGTGACGCTCATTCGGAGGTCTTTCGCGATGAGAGCGGTGTCGGTCGCGAAGCTGTCCAGCTTCAGGCATAGGGCGAACATGTGAGTGAAGAGTAGGGTCTCGGTCGCACCCGTCATCTTCGCTCTGGACCGCCGTTGAGCATCTTTGCGGGGCAAGAGGGTACCACGTACGTCGATGAGCCCCTCGGTGTCTCTGTAAACCGCGAGAGTAGACCGTCCACGACGATTTCAGGCGTGCGCTCCATCTTCTTGAGCAGTTCAGCCCGTTCTGGGGCGCCTCTGGGACCGCTGGCAGCCCGACGGAAGTTGAACATCGCTGCGATGTACGCGATGACCTTCCTTCGCGGCCAGTGAGCGTTCGCAGGCCTTGGGATAAGTATACACAATCCACTCACAGCGTTTGGTTGCGCAGCTTGCTGCCCGGCCTAAAGGCCTGCAGGAGATGGTGTTTGATCCACTCGCTCTGCGCGAACGGCAAACACTTCAGACGTGCGGTCACGTTCTCGGCACTCTTGAGTGAAGATGCAAGCGAGTCGAGCGCGTTCAGTTCCGGCTCAGGGATGATGTTGTGTAACGGGTATGCGTCTTCTGGCGTCATCGCGTTGGCGTCATAGGCTGGGATCAGGCGCGCAGAGTCTGCGACTTCTTGTGCCTTGTCTATCGCCCGGGGTCATAAGTACGTGGATAGGATTTCGCGATGGCCAGGCCCACCCTTGGATGGCAAGTTCTCTGTGCCGACGTCTATGCTGTCCTGTAGCGTGCCCGCAACATTTTCCATCGCGCCGACGTCGACCTTATTGCGCTCATAGGCTCGAATGGCCGCCTTGGCTTTCCTCGTACCAAAGGTCTCACCGAGCGCGTTACGCGCGGCAATTCGGTCCTCTGCGCTCGGCGCCTTGGACCGAAAGGCTTTGAGTGCCTTAACTTGTCGCGTTACCGAGTACAGTGGAGCGGGCTGAAGAGTGATTTTGCCAGCAGAGGGCCTGTACAGCGCGACGAAGTAACTGCGCGTGACTCGTAAGGTAGCAAACCGATTGAGAGGGCTGAACACGCACTGGCTTCCCGTGTTGCTATCCATGTCGTTCGTGCTTCCTTCAAACTCCACTTTCTCCGCCTCCCCTGCGAGCGTGGTTTGCTGCTCAACGAACGGCCGCTCTTCATCGCCATTCCGCACGTACACGTCGAACGCGGTCGATCGCGGTGGTTTTAAGCATGGGAAATTTCCTTGGGAAAAAGTCAACGGAGGAGCGAGCCCCTACGACAGAGCACACACCGATAGCAGGCCCAACCTGGGATTTGGAGAGGCTAGAAGACTCTACGATCAGCCGCTTGCTGCTGCCAGCATCCGGATCGTCACGTTTGCGCTTCTTGCTTATGGTAGGTGATGACATGACGTCCTTATTGGAAAGTGAAGCACGAAAACAGGAGGGTTTTTGAGACAGGTCCGCTTCGCGACCGCGTCTCCGTCATGGACACTACTACTAGTACTAGCAAGTCCGTCGTGTCGGCCGGTACTAAATTTGTGCACGTGACACGCGCCCTCATCATCTGCTTCAGTGGCGTGCGCGCGCGCGAGATTTTTTGACGCGCACTGTGTACCGCGATCATAGCACGCGCCGCCGGCCGAGCTGGAGACTCCTGAGCCCTAGGTTGTTGTGACCTCCTTCGCAATGGCCTCTGCTTTAGCTACACAGCTTGCTCAAGGAGCCTCACTCAACTCGGGTCTACTTTTGGAACGCACGCGACGAAAACCGACCGAGTCCTACCTCTTTACCGGACAGGATGCGAACCAACATGATCTCGAGTCCCTGCAAGCGCTTGGCCTGAACGCCTTTATTCAGCTCAGGCAACTGAACTCGTCTCTATCTCCTTTCGAAGACGCATTTTTCTCCGACGCGAGCAAGCATGTCGATCGTACGCTTTTGCCCGGTGACGAGGGACGGGATTTGGATGGGAAAGTCAGGGCTTTCCTG